TTTTTTTTTTTTTTTTTTTGAAGCCATTACTAAGTTAAGTTTATCTTAACTATTTACATCCATGTAGATGCTGATTTCTCTGTCTCTTTGTTTTTGTCCTGCTTTCGACTCTGTTTAAGAACATTGATGTTGACCAAATTGTTGAGAAATACCAGTCAACTTGCACTCCCAAACCATCAATATCCAAGCTTCCTCCTACAACACCAACTGCATATAATGATAATGTTTTGCCACCAGAGCTGTGTTTAGATTGCATCCATGGTTACAAGGTATTTTGATCTTTCACAAGTTATCATTGTTTATTTGTCCGATTGATATGCCTAATCATAATTCTGGATGCAGTTAGGGCTTTGCCCTGAAGCAGCAAGTCATTTGCAAGAATTGAAGGATAATCTCATTGCTATCTCTAATGAACTGCTTGACAACAGTGAAAACCTTAATTCTACACAGATAGCAAAGCTTCGCAATGATAGGTGTGCCTTTCCCTTGGAATTATATCCTGTTTATAACATTTTTAAATATATATCACGTACAATCAAAAGAAAAAGCTTGAAGGCATCATCATAGTATTTTTTTTTTCCTTTTATATAATTATGCTGAATCATTATACTTCAAAAAAATCGTTGCAGCATACTGAATAGTTGATTTGAAAAAATATTTTTCTTGCTAATGCCAGGTCACAACTGAATAAGCAAATTCAACAGCTTGAACAATATATAAATTGTGGTAATCTTAATGAGGAAAGGCAAAAGTCACATCAATTTGCATCCACGGCACCACCTACATCTTTCATGTATGAAACACCTCAACAAACTGTCCTTTGTAATGGACCTAAGAGAGATGCTTATATGGGTAATGGAACATATGGGTCATCGTTCCAGTGTCTTCCATCCTTTTCTGTAGACAATTATAGCATGTCATCAGCTCCAGTGGAGAGGGAAGCGTTTGTCCCAAAGATTATTGAAGTTAATTACATTGAAGGTTCTGGAGACAAACGTTGGAGCAGCCGTGATTTTCCTTGGACAAAAGAGTTAGAGGTATTTAACTGAATTATTGTCAGTTCCCAGTGAACCTAACTCATCTTTTATAACTTTTTCTTTATTTTTAGGTTAATAATAAAAGGGTATTTGGAAATCACTCATTCCGCCCCAATCAAAGAGAGGTCATTAATGCCACAATGAGTGGATGTGATGTTTTTGTTCTGATGCCCACTGGTGGTGGAAAGAGTCTGACCTATCAGGTAATATGATATTTCAAGAGACCTTTTTGAGTTATGGCCTTTTCCCTTTCTCATTTGCACATAGACTGTAAATACCATTTAATTGGTTTTGGTGATTGATTTGTCTAGATTTTTCCAATACTGTAACCTTACAACTTTGGACTGTCTTGTCTTGCAGTTACCAGCTCTTATTTGTCCGGGTATAACATTAGTAATTTCTCCCCTTGTGTCCCTGATTCAGGATCAAATAATGCACCTATTGCAGGTATTGCTGATTCTATAACTAATCTTCTTTCTTTTTTCCTCGTGTGTTTTTCTGATAGATATATAAATGTTTATTTGTTCCTGTTGTCTTGAAATACAGGCAAATATACCTGCTGCTTACTTGAGTGCCAATATGGAATGGGCTGAACAGCAGGAGATCCTACGAGAACTTAATTCTGATTGTTGTAAATACAAGTTATTATACGTGACACCCGAAAAGGTTGCCAAGTGAGTGCCGTTATTGATTGCTGTTCTACTCTTTGAAACATTTTCTTGATATGTGTTTTTTAACTTGGGAACCATATACCTCTCTTCCATAATGCTATTGTTTGTACTTCCACTGTAGAAGTGATGTTCTTCTGCGACAGTTGGACAATTTACATGTTCGTGAGTTGCTTGCAAGGATTGTAATTGATGAGGCTCATTGTGTGAGCCAATGGGGCCATGATTTTAGACCAGATTATCAGGTTGGAGCTTTTCTACCCTTCAAATTGATGCAAATTGCATGATAATATATTGTTTAAATTTTAATTTTTACTGTTTATTTTTCCCAGGGACTTGGTATATTGAAACAGAAATTCCCAAATACTCCTGTTTTAGCTTTAACAGCTACAGCAACAGCTAGTGTAAAAGAAGATGTTGTGCAAGCACTCGGTCTTGTTAACTGCATCATTTTTCGGCAAAGTTTTAATCGCCCAAACTTATGGTGTGTTAAACAAAGATTGACTTCTTTCTAAATCTTCAACGGATTAACATTGTTCATTTTGAACATTGCAGGTATTCTGTTATCCCCAAGACCAAAAAGTGTTTGGAGGACATTGACAAATTCATTAGGGAGAATCATTTTGATGAATGTGGCATTATCTATTGTCTTTCACGAATGGACTGTGAAAAGGTTGCTGAAAAATTACGGGTTAGTCTTCTCATCACTTTATATTTCTATATTTGACTTGAAAGTATGATGTGATGAATTGTCTGATTTTCTAGCTTGCTCTTGCTTTTCATTCTTTTTTTTTTTTGCATGGTTCTTGTTTGTGTTTTGCTGTTTCTGCATGATATGGGTATTTGATAAAACAAATGTGGAAAATAAATGTGTTTCTGGGCTGATGCACATGGAGCCCATTTTTAACAAGCTGACGAGTGTTTTTAAAAATAAATGTGGAAGTTAACATTTGAATGTTTGGCTCATGAATACGTTATCTAGTTATATTCATTGTTCAGGAATGTGGGCATAAATGTGCATTTTATCATGGTACCATGGATCCTGCTCAACGTGCTTCAGTTCAAAAGCAGTGGAGCAAAGACGAGATCAATATAATTTGTGCTACTGTGGCATTTGGAATGGGTAAATTTACTTCTTTGCTTTGTTTATTGCATTTGCTTAATTGAATAGGATCATATTTTAGGGTTGGTATTTCAGGTATTAACAAACCTGATGTCCGGTTTGTAATCCACCATTCCCTCCCAAAATCTATTGAAGGCTATCATCAGGTACTGGCAGAACATAAAAATGTGTTCGGTATTTAGGTTTGCTTCTGTTGGCTTACATACATGCTTATTATTTTTCTTTCAGGAATGTGGACGAGCTGGTAGAGATGGTCAACGTTCATCCTGTGTATTGTATTATAACTATAGTGATTATGTTAGTATCAACTACAACCCGTTTACTTGTCGAATATTAATGTTTGTTTTTGGAAACTAAGTTAGCATTCATATTACTGGCGAATCATATGATGACTGAGGTCCTATTTCCTTACTTACCCTTTTATTGTTTATAATTGGATCTCATTTATAGATACGAGTTAAACATATGTTGAGTCAAGGAGCAATAGAGCAAAGTCCCATGACATCCGGATACAATCGTTCTAATATGACAAATTCAGGAAGGGTACTAGAAACCAACACCGAAAACCTTATGCGAATGGTAAACTTTTTTTTTTTGAAGAACTTTGAGATTCTATTATTATTATTATTATTATTAAATCTTTGTTTTGTCTTGAACTGTCTCAGGTCAGTTATTGTGAAAACGATGTTGACTGTCGGCGCCTTCTGCAACTTGTTCATTTTGGGGAGAAGTTCAATTCTTCAACTTGTCAGAAAACATGTGATAATTGCTTGAAGATCACAAGCTTCATTGAGAAGGATGTCACAGAGATTGCAAAGCAATTGGTTGGGAAGCAATTTCTTTCCATATATTTTTTAGTCCCTCCATTTATTTAAATTCTGTTACTTAGTTTGTATTATTTGAGTCGTCTCATTCTCAGTTTAAGTAATTTTAGTTGTCTTATGCCTAGGTTGAACTTGTTAAGCTAATGGGACAGAGGTTCTCCTCATCTCATATATTAGAAGTGTACCGTGGTTCCTTAAGCCAGTTGGTATGTCAAGCATTTACTTGTTTTCTTTCTTTTTCATTCTTTGGAATATGTTCTCGATCTTAATAGCCATTAATTATCTTCTTAATCGTATACTTTTAATGTCAATATAAGGTCAAGAAACACCGGCATGAGACTGTGAGCCTTCACGGTGCTGGAAAGCGTCTAGGTAAGGGTGAGGCTTCTCGCGTATTACATCATCTTGTCGTTGAGGATTTTCTTGTTGAGGAAGTAAAGAAAAGCGATTATTATGGATCAGTATCATCAATATTGAAGGTAGCAGTGACTCAAAAATTGTATACTGCAATTTTATCCATATGTTTAATATTTCCTCATTGAGCTTCAAATGAGTGATATAGCTTCCTATTGTCATTTTATAATTAGATTCTAATAAGTAATAACTGTAAGTTTTATATTGCATTGAATTGTTTTTTTTCAGGTAAATGAGCCCAAGGTCCGTAATCTTTATGCTGGGCAGAGAATTATATTGAGGTTTGTCCATCTCATTAAGCTGTTTCTTGCTGAAATTTGTGAATTGGAAGGGCCAAGTCTTTCATTGATTGAACACCTTTCCATGAAAGTTCCATCTTTTGTATGTGAGGGCTTCTATAAATATGATATCAATTTTAATAATTAGGGCTTCGATGCTGTTAGCTTGAGATGTTTTTAACATGAGATCAATTTCACTTGAATTCTTGTCTCTACCTTCTCTGGCCTCAAGTTCACAATACTTGTGTTTTTCTTTGTTCATATTCTAAGTGGAATTTTAAACTTTTGTAGATTCCCATCCTCTGTAAAGGCATCAAAACCAGGGAAATCTGATATAACTCCAGCTAAGGGTTCTCTGACATCTGGGAAGCCCAACGTTACACTAATTGACACTCCTCCCGAACCTCAAACTGAAGTGGATTTGGTATAAAATAGCTTATTTTTCAGATCACCTGTTAAGATTTCTAACAGTTTCGAGTTATATTTAACACAAATCTACTTCAGAATCTTTCAGCTAAGTTATACACTGCTCTACGGATGTTGAGGACAAGTCTTGTTAGAGAAGCTGGAGAGGGTGTTATGGCTTACCACATATTTGGGTAAGTTATTAGATCTTTTCATTTTCCTTGTTATACAAGTAACATTTTCTCCGTTTAGGATTCATGTACCCTTGTAGTTACGGAATATAAAGAATGCAGTTGAAAATTAAAATTTGCATGGTAAAATCCATTTCTGCTTTATTACATGAAATGCTTTATATGTATATTATAGACTCATAATAAAAGCATCTGATAAGCTGCTGTTTCTGTTTAGTAATGCTACGTTGCAGCAGATAAGCAAGAGAGTGCCGAGAACAAAAGAAGAACTCCTTGATATCAATGGCATTAGCAAGTAAGTTCATTCTGGAAATAGTTGTGTCCTGGTTAGTGAACCTGCATTAATTAACGTTTTGGTTTAACACAGGACTAAGGTAAGCAAGTATGGGGATCGGTTACTAGAAATCATTGAAAATACAATTAATGAATATTACAAGTTGGAGAAAGTGAGCAGTGGCAGCAAAGGCAGTGCGGATTCTTGCAAAAGGAGACGAGGGACAAATGGAGGGCTAAATGCAAATGATGAGGATGATGACGCCTTAACGAATAGCACAGGTCGTTCAAAGAGAAGGACGGTAAAGAAACAAACTAGAAAAGATGTGGTGTATGATTCTCCAGAGGAAGATTATTTCCATGGATGCTCTGATGAAGACCTAGATTTTGACGTCATAGAAATTGATGCATTAGATCAAGTAACATGTAAAAATGCTGCAGGAAGAGTACTACCTCAATGGACAGCATCTTGAAATAATATATCACCATCTTATTATTGTACATGCCCCTGATGAATATGAATGTCGTCGTAGGGCTTACGGTGGATCACTTGCAGTAATTTATGGTTGTTCCACCGGACGAGTGGAAGACAACTCTTGTACGCAGATCAACCACAAAAACTGTGGTTTACTTTTATTTCTACCACCATCATATTGTCCAGTCTTAACTATGCTGGCCAAGAGGTGCGAATTTAATTCGTGAAAATGTATGATAAACTGGCACTTTTTTGTTGTTGTAAAGAATAGAAGAAATTATTAAGATAACATCTTCAAATCTGTGGTAGTTGACAACTGGCAGAGGTCTTGTATGGCACTTTTATTTCAAAATTTATTTCACTCTGCTTACTTTTTCTTAACTCATGGTCAAAGGATGAATGTAATGATTAGAATCCCTTGAATTTAATATGGTATGGCGTAGGGGTCTTAATTTCAAAATTGTCAGTTAGGTTCACCGTTTCCCAATTACAATTGGGTTCTTTTTTTTTTAGCGATAATAAAAAAAAATCTTAAACCCTAAATCCTAAACCTTAAACATGTACGATTATGTTCCTCTAACTTAATTGCATCTCTTAATATTTATTGGAAATTAAGTAATTGGGGGTATCTAGTATTGAAAGAATTCTACCACAATAAGTTGGATTTTAACCATAACCATTATCTATATACGGAGAAAAATGATGATACTTTGACATCATGTCTTGTCTAAATATATATTTTTGGTTATATGATTATACAGTGTATTACAATTAACAATCAAGGATTAATGTGTTCGTAAGACATAATTTTCATCGAATCTTAAGAATAAAAATTGGTCTTTAATTATCATTAACTATGTTCATAGATTGAATAAAATAAAAATATATATATATATATTTATATACACTTAGAAGTCAGAAGCTGTTTTCTCCATCTCTAAGTTTATACTTGTACATCTAAAATTATATAATTAGTAATTGTTTTCTCCGGAAAAATGTAATATACTGTGGTCTTATTATTGTAACGTGGAAGTAGCTTTTCTGTACTAGTTTTAAGATGTCCAAGGTGTGGAGCGTTAGTTTCAGCACGTCGGGGACAGGTATCGGCAGTTGTTCCCCTAATTCCTAAACTCCTGTAGCTGCTTTGTGCTCAAGTATCTATTAAGCAATACAATAATAGATTTTTTTAAAATATACACAAGTAACAATAGGCTAGTTGCAAAATGATAAAAGTGATTTACAATTTCACTTGAGTGCTTATCATTTGATTTTGATAGTATCGGAAAAGAAAAGTTGTAGATCCAATCATAAATTAGCAATTTAATGTTAAAGAGTTTAGATACCTATATACATTTCTGTTTGTTACATCAAAAGAATTCTACTACAGACAATATTACTTCTCTAGAAACCTAAGATATACAGCTTACAACTTTACACACTCACTCATATTTACAGATGTGTGCAATTATTATTATGGGCATGTACATAGGAAATGGCAAATATATCACATGTTATCAGTCAAATATTTATACCAAGGTCCGTAAACACCAACAGAAATAGTGGCTGCCACAATCAAAACACCAGCAGTTTCGACGACCTTATCAGTGAGAAGGGCAGCCCCAACTTTGATGAGAGCCATTTCTGCTAATTTCCTCCCACGGGCCCCACTTCCCCCTAGCACAACTCCGCGCAAAGCTGAATAGACAGCATTAAATACCCTCTCAAATACAGGGTCCCCAGCTTGTAAGCTCTTTCCTAGCATCCTAGCAGCAACTATTTTTCTTGACTCAAGTTTCCCTTTATCTTCTTCACCGTCAACTGTGGGAAAATTGCAGATCACTTGTACAATGTCTTCGATATCAGCATCTTTAACACGGTCTAGGAGATCCATGAGTTGAGCACCACACTCGGACACTAACTTTTCCATATCTGCAGGACTAGCTACTGCCTTTTCACTCAAGAGAACCTGCCGGCGAATAAGAATGCTGCATTTCCCAAAATATTGATAAATTAGTTAAATAATTGCACAGTAAATAACGAATAATACAGTACCACCAGCAGCTTAAATTATTCAGTGAAGACAACCTAATAACCTCTCCACGCAAATATCATGGTATTTACCTCGTAGCAATCACAATAATCTTCTGAATTTGAGCTTGAACAGACCTCAGCCTTGAGAAGTTGAGAGATAAAGTTTCTGGTAGATCATCTTGTGTCAGACCAGATATTCCACTTACTAATTTTAGCAAACCAAGCCTCACAACTAGATCAACTTGTTCTCCTTTGCATTCTGGCTGTTGATTACCTGCGTAAATAACAAACAAGTAGGTATCAAAAAAGTAAGTTTTTGCTTGAGTAGATGAAACAGTAAACTTTTTTAAAGGAAATTGAAGAACAGAGAATTTAGAACCTTTAGCATTTGCACCATCTGCAGAAAAGGCCATTGGACTGCCAGTTGTTTTGTGCAGAATATTTCCCCCAGATCTGAGAGTAGTTGAAGGAAGCCATTCTTGGGTTGAATTAGAAGGCAACGCTGATGAGGAACTCACATGTTCTTCCCATTCCTGATCTTTGCAATTCCAAACAGATGAAAGCCATCTCAGTGTTGAAGGCAGAGAGATATTGGCATCAGATGGAGATCCATATTTGTTAGCAAAGGAATTCCTAAGGTAGTCCAACCCAGCGGATCCCTTCACCAAAGACTCCATTAATCTTATTCGTGCTTTGCTTATCTCTTTCTTAAGAATCTGTCGAAAGAATTTCGTAATATAAAACCAAAGACATTATTTACAAGCAAGAAAATGTGCGTGCTGAACCAGTATCTTCAAAATAAAGTCCACAACCACATCCAAACGTGGCATGTTTAACAGACAGCAGTATCCTCAAAAAATAAGTTTTGATGCTTAAGGAAGATCACTAAGTTCTACAACAAAAGCACAAGCAAAGTAAAATTGATAGAAAGATTGTGCTTATTTCTATGGCTAACCAATCACAGGCTGAAGTGGTACTGAAGTGTTTTCAGAGGATTTGTTACATCAGAAGCATCCATAATTTGTAATTAATAAGCAGAAGAAAAAAACATGAACATATTGATCAAGTTAATTTTAATCCCAAAGCAGTGAGTGCTTTCAGAGAAACATCCATAATTCATAATAAATAAGCAAAAGGGAAACCATATTGATCAAGCAAATTTTAGTTGCAGATAAAATTAAGTAATGAGCAGCACATATAAAGTAAAGGTAAGCAAACAGACCTGAATCTGTTCGAAGACAAATTGCAAACCCTTAACCAAGGCTACAACACTCGAATTGTTTGACGCTTCCTTTGGTCGACACATTTCACTCAATTCATGAAATAATTTCTCGTGTGTGGCCTTCATCATCTCCTCATTGGCTGGAGCTGAGAGCTTCTGCAAACTGACTAGTGAAAACTCGAGTATTTTTCCAAGATAATCAGCATCCAGGTTACCCGATTTCAGCACCTTCAGATACACAGGAAAAAGATAACAGAGAAGGAGAAAAATAGTCAGGTATGTGCCAATAATGCATTTAATAGCCATCACAGGCTGCAAGAAGAGAACATAGTAGCTACCTGAGATAGAATTTCTAAATCAATGGCAGCAAAAATATCATCCTTCCAGCTTTTTGGAGCCATCTCACAAATTTCATCCCTAACCTCTCCCGTTAGTTGAACGATCCTATCATAGTTGGGCTGGTCCCCCTCAACAGATTCCAAGATACCATCCCAAAAGGCCTTCTCCATTGTCTCTTTTATTTTCCCCTGCAAGATAAAAAGAGTGAATCAGAACTCAAAATAATGTCATTAGCTATCAGCAAATATAAAATTATATACTGCTTTGCATACTAAAATTGGCAATAACTCCAAAAACATATATTCTAGATTAGACATACATTCCATAGTTGGTGGGATAATATGAGCAGGCTAACAGCAAACAAAGGTCAGACTCAGAGGAAGAGCTTCAAATCAAAGATTCTTCGAAAATTAGTCATAAATTCAATGGTAACATTTATAAAAATATCTACTAACCTCAATGCTGTTTTGAATGTGATCAGAGACACCAAAGCCATCAGTAACACTATGGTGCTGCTCATGAAGAAATTCATTTACGAGAACCTCATTCTCTGCCAGTAACTTATCAGAGGATGTGCCAAGCTGACTATCTGAACTGGTTCTAGCTGCTGAGAAGCTAGACTCTCCGGGGGAAGTATTTGTCTCCTTAAAGAGGGAGCGAACTACTCGGCTTTCCCTATGATTACCCTCATCAGAAATATTTCTTTCATTTGAGCTGGCAGCAGTAGAAAGTGGATTAGGGCTCGCAGGCATAGATGGAGTCATTGCAGACCTCACTGGACTTCCGTCCTTTTTTACACCAAAGTATCTGGATCTTGTTTCAGATAGTGCAGATTCCATACGCTCAATCCCAGCATCTCCACTAAGGTGCTGCACCTTTTCTCTCAAAAGTTTCTGATCTTCAGAGACCTGCATTAAATGCCAAAATATAAGGCCAAAGCACAATTTGCTGCAATAATAATAAAGTCAAGGAGAAAGAAACACCCATAACTGTTAGGTTTGAATGTATACTTATAGGGATTCAGGCAATGTGAATCAGAAAACATTGTTTGAGAAAAGGAAACAAGTGAAAATTTTACTCAATAAAACAAGCAAAATTTGTACATATCAGACAATCTGAAGTCAGCTTTTAAAGACATTTAATGACTGCTGAATAGCTTTCGATCACAAAGAAAACTGACAGCTATTGACGTGGAAAATTACCTGATGCTGAATAGCTTTCATATCATGACTAAGCTTACCACCAGCTCCTTCAGGAGTTAACTTGCAAGTTTGAATCATAGAAGCTTCGAGCTGGCAAGCTGCTCTAACCAAATCCTCCTCCAATGATCTAGCATCCTTAACCTTCCATGCCACAAAACAATTCAGGTATGAGCACCAAGCTTTATCAAAAGCAGCAAGCTGAGATCTGAAGGTACAGCGCTTAATGGCTGCTGAGACAGACTCTTCATCAGAACTCTGTATTGGCCCATCTAGTATAATCTTTATCAACAGCTCAAACATTTGGACAAACTCTTGTGCAGATTTGGCTAGAGCAATTTCAGGTTCTCCCATTCCACTGAAAACTGCATCTGGATGACCCAATATCATATAAGCACAAAGAACCACTCTCACAGGATACCTTGATGATCTAGCTAAGCTATTGTTTGACTCCCTGACGGAATCTACTTTCTTTGCCACCCTGCTTCTCACAGAACTCCTGGGAGTGGCCCTTTTCTTGGGGGAAGCAACCCGTTTAAGAAGGTGATCAATGTTTTCCATGCTAGAGAAATTATTGGCAGGAGCAACAGCTGTAGACACTTTGAGGCGGCTCTCAAACCGGTCAAGTAAAGTTTTC